GGTGGGTAAGGATAACCTTGATATATACCAATATTAATTTAATTAAACGGGATGGGCAAGACGTGGATTAATTAATAAGAAAGCTTTACAAAAGAAGAGACAGGCTTCATCATATAATAAGCATATATTTATGCTTTGGCAAAGATAGAAATGGATGGATGAGAAAGAGAAATAAAAAAGATCGGGTTGAATTCGAAGGGCTTGAACAAAAATAATACTTAAATTTATATCCTACTAATAATTGTCGTAATCTTATTAATTATTATTAACATTGTCAAATGAATATAGTAGTATTTGTTGCATCCTCTTTTGCTTGGCATGTTTGTTAATTCATTGCATCTGGCTTACAAAAAGATTGTGGTGTTTAATCAACATATATACACGCATATTTTATTAACTTGTCAATTATTATACGTACGTACTATGTAAGCTAGGATATCAAATACTTGACTTGATTCTTAAAATTTAAAGATACTTGATTCATTTTAGATAAAACAATACTTGAATCAAACGACAGACAAAGTTATACCGCGGCTTTGACAAACAGAACATTCTTAATTTTTTGGTTTGGGGATTTAGATACGATGTCATTAATATTTATACATAAGTATACAGTAAGTAATTCAATCAATTAGTTTCTAGTTTTTCTCTTTTGTTGACGAAAGAACAAAAAAAAAAAGAGAGTGGGGAATGCATATTGAACATCAATAATTCCGTTGGACAAAGGCAAGCTTTCTTGTTGTTTTTTTATGCTCAAAATTGTTATTCATTTTCCGTATATATTATTAATTCAATGCAATTATTTAAGTTGGCAGCGTATACGACATCAAGTTTTTATGCCATCAGAATTGTCTGTCAAACAATTTCCCATATTTTGTTGTTTTTTAGACATCTCGGGGTTTTACCCAGATTCTTTGTATTAACATCTATCACAAAAAATATGTATGTTTAAAATGGGAAAGGTAGAATAAGTTTATAATTTTGTGTGTTAGCGATAAAACGAATGAAAACAACATATCAGTCGATTTAATCATCCGCACAATTTTTTTTTTTTCATCTGAATATTAACATAAACACTGTAGAAAACGAAGATGGGATACTTTTTTGAAATACACGGATGGGATACGCAGATGAAATACATAGGAGAATCTATACCGAGATCCTTATACGAAAAATAATCCTAGATCCATAAAGCCAAAGTATAGCTCGGGAGACAACAACCTAAAGCTCCGAACCAAGACCCAAACTAACTAACTCGATCCCAAAGAGCCAAGAGTCTTCCTTCCAAAGAAACCTCATCAATGTAGAACCACTGCTTCGCATCACAATGTCGATAAAGGTGAGAAGGAGCTGCACGTACACACGAGACAAAAACACCAAATCCCGAGTCCAAACTAAAACCATCTAAGAGTAACGATCGCCAATGTTAAACCATGAAGAAGATCTTCTCCACGAGCTAAAGTAGAACCCAAACCTAACCCAAGATTCTTCATATTGATAACAATCCAAAACACTAATGCAAGGAAATGTTATGCATAACGCCAATAGAAGAACATATTCACAACGGGAAGAAATGAATCTACGCAGCAAGGGGGGGAGGAAGGAACATCCTCGAGAAGCATCTTCTTCAGCAAAGAGGAGTCACCCTTAAACAAACAGCAAAGACCACCTCAAGCAGGACAGATTATAACCGAAGGCATAGACTCATCGAACCTCCGGGGATGAGATAGAGCTTCGGCCAAATTCAGGGACAAAAGATTGAAAGCGACCATCTCCAAACAAGCTAATACCAAATAAAGCTAAATCCAGCCCCTAAACAGAGAGATCCTAGTCCCAAACACAAGAACCATTACAGGCGAAGACTACACCTACTTAGAGAAAGAACTTACCCCACCGCCGGTGGCAAGCTCCGGCCAAGATTGGCATCGAACCGGGAGGATACAACTGCATGAATCCAAGGCAATTGGAGTCAAGCAAAAACCTAGGACTTTGCAAGCGGAGGAAGGCCCGAACCCTGCCTAATCGAGCCAAGCACACTGCCCCGACAAGAAGAAACGATTCAACCACTAACCCCACCGGCGACCTAGACAGATCTTGACCACAAACAAACCCTCACCAAACCGAGATATGAAACCCCACCACGAGCAAGTTCTCATACCAGATCTAGAACCAAATCTACCGAGAAACTAAATCATAAAGACTAAAAACGACTGGATCCGGCTTCAGCGCTAAAGGAGCCGTCGACCGCCGGACCAAACCAAGCAAAACCTCGTAGGGTTACTGTAGCCGCCGCTATGTTGATATCACCCTCAAGTTTCTATTTTTTTTAACATAAATCATCAGCACAACCTTAGAATGGTGTTATTATATTGAAAAAAAAACTTATGTGATTGGATTAGTAATTTTCCATATAAATCTAAAAGAGAACTTTAACAAAAAAAGAAAAAAAAATCTAAAAGGGAAAGATTATTCCACGTGGATAATCGAGTTATATTGCATCCGTAACCATAATAACATCCCTTTTCGGTTGTTTTTAAAGCGACCGCGGCTAACATTTGATTTGGCCGGTGGCTCCTTCAGCACCGGTCACCGGTCCTCTCATCTGCATATTTAATCTCATTTAACTCAGTTTATTCAAGATATCTCTTTGTCGTCGCGGTTATTTTTATCGAAAGGAAAACTTTTGGGGTGGCCGGTGGATCTCAATTACTTTGTTGGTGGTCTCTTAGCCAAAATGGAGGGTCCGAGCCTTTTCAGGTCAATGGTGTTGCATCGACAACAAATATTATCCCTCTCGATTAGCAGATCCAGATTTGCAAGTGGTTTTGGTCTTCACCGTTGGTTACAACACGTTTCTTGCCGGAGGATGTGGTTTCTCATCTCGTCGTTTTGGTGTGATAGGGTTTTAGTTATGTTTGAAGCAAAGATATCC